AACCTGAAAACCAGTGTTGGATACTTACTGTGCCCAGCTTAAACTGAGTTCACGGGCCCTTTCGTCGTGGATATGCTGCCACCCTGTTCTTTTATTTTGCTTTTTTATAATGATTTATTATTGCCTTCATTCTTTTTTTACTCCTTTTTTTTAAATATTATTGTCTGTTTTTTTTTTTGTTTTTCAATGTTATTATTTTGTGTATTCATATTCGGTGGTCCATGCCTGGTGGCGGATTCTTTCTTGAAGGCAAATCACCGGTGACCCCCATGGCGATTAATGTGTTAACTAGTTACTAGTAACGTTTACTAGTACGTAATTAGAGGAAACCAGACTGCGTTATTCCAGACTATACTACTACCCTGTTCTAAATATCACCTCGATCCCTTCAGGAATTTGGACGCAAAGAAGTAATAAACAAACATACACATTTTCGCATTTACTATATTTATAGGATTCATATTCACACAACAAATTCCTACAGTATCGAGAGAGTAGCATATAAAATGAACTCCCTGCCGAGGTTTTCCCAGTAGGCTACAATATGGGGTCTTCAAGAAGGAAGTAATTGGTTTATAAAGGGTCGGCAAGGCGCATGTGATGTCCCAAGTGTTGCAAGCGTACATAGACAAGCGTAGGTACATAGGTCACTTACCATCAGGTGGACCGTGTGCTTTTTTACCACCGTCGTGGTATAACAAATTTATAAAGCAAACGCCTAACGTAAACCATCTTCCCGAATAAGTTTAAGTAAATTTGCGTTCGGTACTCTGATTGGTTGGTCCATTGGAGCCGGCCAATCAGAGCACGTACTCGTTACCATTACTTTAAACGTAAAAGAAACTCGTATTAAGCCCCCAGTACACGGAACGGTTATTTATTACGTCACACTTGTTATTTTTTACTCAATATGTGTTACTCCAGTTATTTATGACTCGCTGCTAGCTGCTAATGTTACGTATTGCAGGCTGTTAGCGATGGCGCGACGTACCAACTGACGGGGATTGATTTAGAATTGAATTGGTGAATATTGTTTGTTGGAATCAATGACATTTTTTTAAATAAACATGATTAAAAACCTAAAAGAAGACTCTGAATATTAGTAGATAAGTACTTAACTCATACCGATAATAGCCATCTATCGGTAGTTTACATAAAATAAAAATATATTGTGAGAAAACTCGGCTCGTTGCCAGGGACAACCCAGTAAAAATTAACATAAAAATTATAACATTAGGAATTCAATTTAAACTTGACATTTTGTAGAATTTTCTCAAAGCCTTAATAACAGTTGATGAGACAGTGAAATTAAACGTTATTTTAATAAGAAATGGCTTAAGAAGCCCGCGGCGCGGGGCCTGAGCGGGTGTCGAGGCAAACTGTTTAATTCTATCCTCGTAATGAACACGTCACTGAGGCCATGAAGTCGAAATACTTCTACCGCCATCGCTTGTACATAGATACACACAGTTTCACATCAAACTGTACACAGCCAGTACACCATGGTCTCGGTTTGTATGATCATCCCGCACTCTTATCGGTCAGCTTAGACTGGATTGTCACAGCTTGATGTGTAGCTATGTGAACACGCTCGCACGCTTAATGTTACGAGCTTTAATGAAAAGATAGTTCTTGACTTTGACGCAATATTGTGGCTTGCTTTGCAGTGTTGTAGCTATTTGTATAACAAAGGAAATCTAAATTAATATTATAAAGCTGAAGAGTTTGTTTTTTTGTTTGAACGCGTTAATCTCCGAAACTACTGGTCCGATTTGAAAAATTCTTTATATGTTAGATAACACATTTATCAAGGAAGGCTATAGGCCATAAAATATCACGCTACAATTAATAGGCGCCGAGCAGAGCGAGTGAAACCGCGCGGAAGTAGCTAGTATTTTAAATATATGTAAACAAACCTGCAGGTACTGTAATTATTTTATTACTATTCCAAATATCTAATACTTTCTTATTAAGAAAAGTATATTATTTATTATAGTATTTTTGTAGTTGAATATAAGTAATTTATTGTAAGCGACATAAAGAGATATTTCAACAATATTTTATTTACTTACGTCGACCCTACTATACTTTCATATCCACTCATCATACGATCCATCCATCTTCTCTTCAATCGACTCCTATCCTTCCATTTGTCAAAGAACCCTTTTTGGCACACAAAAGCTATGCCAATACACATTTTTCCTTATGACTTACCTCTTACAGTATTGAAAAGTAATGCTACACCATGACAAATACTGGCCATCAACGCCATCTAGCCGTGGTTCCCTGAAGCATTAAACATTCTAGTGGACGTGACATCACGTAGCCGGCGGGCATAGCGCGACTGTCGTTAATCAATTACTGGCTTGCCTCGCCCGTTTACTGGCCCCAACTGAATTATACGCTACAATCAAATTACCGGCGATTTCATTTAGAATGTTCTCGTCGCTTCTAACTCTCTCATAAGAAACGTTGATCCAAGAAGACCGGTCTTTTCACTTTAATTGTGGAATTTATGCCAAATTCTGTTTTAGGGTGAGGTAAATAAAGGTCTTTGTTAATTGTATTTAATGGAAGTTGTTTAATTACACCTTTATATTACTGTTTCGAATTATTTTCATTAAATTCATGGGGTCAATATTTTTAATTCTTGGTTTTACTATTAGTAAACGCTTACAAATGCGCTTTATATGAAATGCTATAAATTATGTATAAATACCGATAGCAATTGCCGTTCCATAGTATCTGCCTACCCCCATGATGGTAGACAGAAGTGAGGTATGTATAGTATGTATGTAGGTATGTCGGTATGTATGTACCGGTACTAAATTGGCTACATTATTATTTTCGACGCATACAAAATCATTAAAAAGGATGAGAAAAGCAAACTCATTTCTGAACAATGTGATAAGTATCAATTTGTTATGAATGGCAGACAAGAAATTTATACGGAAATAATATTCAAACTAAAAACTAAAGTCAAATGTTACTTATATTTATGATTAATTAACACATTTTCATAGTAATGATAAAAATGATTGGAACATCACGAGCATTTCCACTGACCGTGCTATGATATCGTAAAAATATGTTCAGCGCCATCTGAAAAGTGTGGCTGCAAACTAAAAGCTGAGTACATAAGAACCGTTAGCTGTTGATTACGCTACCCGATCCGAGATGGCGCTAAATAAAATTCCACTTGATGGCAGAACGTGTCATAGTTCATTAAAAATGAAAGCTATACCGTCTAATCTGTACTTAATAATTAATATTAACTTAAATTATTTATGGTTCACCATAATACATGTAACAAACCATGTAATTCACATTATTACATATTTTAGCTACTATCCACTAGATGGCGCTAATCGTCAAACAAAAAATAATCCGCGATTTCCATCTCAATTATATGCATAAATATAATGTTATTACACGTACGTACGGTACGCCCAAACACGTTAGTCTAGAATAGGGTCCTTCTTTAAATTGACCACAAACATTCCTTGCGAGGGTATTTACATTCATGTCCCAGGGCTGCTATTCAGAATTCTCTTGAAGCAAATCCAATAAGACCTTTCCCAATAGAAAGCGGAGCTTGTGAGGAAACTGGGAGAAAAGGCCAATAGTAAATTAAGTAAAAGGAATACATTCCTAGGAAGAGTATTGGAGGAGAATCCCTTCACCCGTTCTGTATGGGCTGCGTTGATTTCCCACGAGGACGAGGCTCGAGACGGAATCACTTGCAGATCCTTCACGATCACTTATTGTACAAGGAGTTACGATGATGGATAGACTCGCTGCCGCTGCGGTGGGTTACATAGACAGACAGATGTTTAGGATAAATCACTGAGCATTTGCGTTGAGAAATGTACGCGATGAATGCATTGAGAATTGTTTTCGTTTACATTTTACGAGAAAAGATTTGTATTCTTGAGACGCATTTATAATAATTTTTAGAACTTTAGTTACTTTAGTGTAAGGCCTTTGTTAATTGTAGGATGAATTTAAGAATTATAAGATTTGATTTATTAGAAGTAGGTATTCATTTAAAATGTATTCAATGAATTGATCCAATACATTAACTTTGGCAATGATCGCTACTTCTGTAATTAATGAAGATCGAAACAAAATTAATGAAATCGTTAACAAAACTTTGATGTCTTTAAACAGTTTCGAAAATGTTCTCAACAACAAACTAAGATTCATGAGTAATTTACCATTCGAACATTTACCCCAAATAAAAATAATCACCTCCTCCACTGAGTTAGATGCCTCAATTTTCTGCGGGTTGTAATTCGATTCTCTGTTTAGGTATTTCTCCAGAGCTATCTAGCCTGATTGATGACTCGAGGCCGTGGGTTACGACAGCCTTATTATCGGCATAAGTTCCCAATTTCGGACAGTAGGCAATGTTGTTTGTACTGGCTTGTATCCTTGCGTGGGTGGCGTTGATGTATGTTTTACGGCAGCGACTGGAGATGCAATCACACGTAATTGTTGCTGTGATACGGAATGAGGACAATGGTTACAGCTTTGTATTTTTGAGGCGCCGTGACACTGAGTACAATTGATAGCGTTTTCATTATTTTATGTCTGTTTTGGTTTGGTGATATTCTAAAGGTGTATGGAGAATTAAAATAATAGGTACTTTTAGTTATGATAGGTATTTACACTAGGTGAAGAAAGTTTATTAAATATTCGTGATTAAAATTTAGAAAGAAAGAAAGAAAAAACATTTATTTAGCACCAAGCACGATGCAGCATAAATAAAAAAGACAATCAAGATGCGACAGTGGAAGTAATAAAAATATAAGAGTTGAAAAATTGAAACAGAAGAATTAGAAAAGAGACGCTGAATTTGTAGAATAACTATTTTATATAAACGAGATTGATTGACACTGGCAACAAGTACGCGATAAAGTTTTAGCTCTCATAAAATTATTCAATATCCATAAAATGTTGTAGGCGATAATTTCAGAATAACGAGTGCACTATATGTGATGCGTGTCCTCTCACTCCTGACTTTGCTAGTGTTAGGTTTATTCGGGACTGTCACTGCAGAAGATATCAAAGATGTTCCTATTGAAGTCCTCAACCTCACTGTGTACGACATATCCAACAAATTGGTCGAGTTGTTCGGTGGTGACCAAAATAAGAGTAGAATCAAAGATTTGAAAGACAAACTAGATCGTATCAACCATTATGTGATCGACCACAATCTGATTGGAGCACTCCTGAACAATGTGACGTCAGAGACCACTTTAAACGAAACTAACTTCTACCAGGCACTCATGGATACGGATCACTTCTCATACTTGACAGCAAACGAATCCAAGAATCTGATTCTGAAGCTAAAGGAAAAGATGACACGAGACGACATATTGAAGATCGTCGCAGAAAGAGCATCGCGGAAGAAACTGATGAAGTCAGCCAGAAGGATGATGGAAGATCCCATTCCTCAGCATGACGATGAAGAAATGATGAATGATGTAGTGGATAAACTCATAGCAGAAACGCCTTATGACAACCACAAGACAAAAGAAAACAAGAGTGTTTATTGGGGTGAATACAATTTCGATTGAGTAATAAATGTAGGTATTGATAAGAAAAGTTATCGCTCCATGAAATATTTCAGTGGATTCTGCGTAATACATTTTTATCGTAGTCACAAAAACAGTTTCACGTTTCATTGGTTCGAACGAAAAATGTTACAATTTCTTTGTATTCTCAGATCCTCAAAAGGAGTTGGAAGCGAAGCAGAGCTACCTCCAGAACAAGCGGAGTGGCCGGCGCATCTTCCGCGGCGAACGCACTAACATCAGGAACTTCCCATTCATGGCGTCCGTGCACCTCATGGGCAGGTTTTGGTGTGGAGCCGTGATATATTGGCAAGATCTGTGCATTACCTCAGCTTCGTGTCTACAGTTGTAAGTTATAATATTATGATTTGATACCTTTTCTTTTCACACAATACACACACAATTTTATATTAAATCGGTCTATTTTCTCATATGTTAAGGGGCCTAATTTAATTCCCTACGATATCATAGCTAGGTACAGGGTAGAAACCTGAACATCGCAAACTTAAACTCTACTAATTACTTCTCCAGATTACACAACAATCGCTTCTTTCGTGAAAACCCTCGCATACTACAAGTGAGGATAGGCAGCAACCACAGCAGGATTGGTGGTGAGATGGTGGATGTCCTTGAGGTAAAAACAATACACACTATTTACAAAAAATAGTTCGATTGATATAATTTATCTAATGTGTGCATGTCAGGTGTACTTCCACCCCGGCTACAACCCAAGGACGTTGAAGAACAACCTGGCAGTGATCAGGCTGCGACGTCACATTCGCTTCACAACACACGCGGTCACCAAGTACATCCCAATCGACAACCACATCCACGCCCCGCCCCCCACCGCTGCGGTACTGCTGCTCGGCTGGGGAGTCACCAAGGTATACATAATATCACTGCTTAAAGTATCTTCAAATTTTTTTGGATCAACCCTAACTGGAATGTCATCTTGACATGCTCTCCGAGATATCTCACATTCCTTTTCCGATTCAGAGATCCTTGGCAAAGATGCCTATAGTCAATTAATTTATTCGCGTCTCAAGGTCATCTTTATAATCCTCTTTTTACTGAAATAAACCATCACTGACATTTAGAACATTATCTTCATCATAAATTTTATTATACTCATCATTTCTTTCTTAGTCTCTATACTTAATACAGTACTCTTTATGATACAGCCGTAAGAACTACTACGTAAGGATAATGTTCAATATAAGTACCCATCCTGGTTTAATTATAACATTGAGTGTGTTTCGGGGACTTTATGTCTGGTGATAGTGATAACATTAGCAGTAAACTCTTAGTGATGGGGACTACTGTTGTGATTTGTGCTGTTATGGAAGTACAAGTTCATGGGTCACACGACACTTGTTGCGCAGTGCAGTGGCAGAATATGTAGAATTAAGGGTACTGTTAAACATGCACAGCATACTTCAATTGAGCACGTGTCACTTAGTAGCGTGTGAGTCGGAATGTTGCTCAAAACTAGCATGACCATTTTTGTCATTTTTGTGAGTCAACAGACGTCCGATTTTTCAACATTTTTTAGCATGATATAGAACACCTCTTAGCAGAATATGTATCAGAGACATTGTAGAACATACTTTTTAAAAAGAGTAACGAATGAAGTTTATTGCTCGTTCTTCTCCATTCGAATTTACATTTTGGAATGAGCACCTAGCTTCACTTAGTTTCACTGACGGACTGACTGACAGACTATTATATATTTTGTATTTGGTGACGTTTCAAAAGTACCAAATTATGGTTTAATTGGAATAAATGCTTTCACTTTGACTTTGACATGCTTTTTAGAGCATGCGTAACGTAATAGTACCTTTAAGTGTATTGACGAAGGAAGTTGATGTGAGACAAGCGTCGGTTGGTTTTACTGTGGTCAATAAAGAGTAAAATGCCCTTCTGTCTCACACAATGGATTCTATCACTGATTCCATCAATATAAAGCTTACGATTGTAAAATGTAATTTATAGATATCGCAGAAGTTATCGTACGAGCCGATATTCTTGCAGAAGAAAGTGTTGCCGGTGTACCCAAACACTTTCTGCAAAGAAGTCTACGGAGAGTAAGTACCATTTTTAAATTTTTGTACAAAAATTATTTTGAGACATACAATATCCTACTCGTGTGACAATAGGGCTTAAATTAGAATGTCTTAGTTTATATCGCCTGATTACGTTATTCCACACTTCAGTTATTGTTCACTTTATTAATAAGAAGTTTCGTTGCAGCAAGTTCATACCCGAGAATATGTTCTGTGCTGGTACTCTGACTACGGGAGAAGGCGCATGTGATGTGAGTATTACCACACGAATTACTTATTGATTTGGCTTACACAGATAAGAATTATTTGTAGTATAAAATTTGACATGTGACTGTATTTAGAATGGCAGAAATGTCAAATATTCATTTTTTTAAGAAAACCGTTGCCCCTAACTAGGATTTCCTCCTGTATCATGGGTAAACAAAAATTCAAGATCCCATACACATGACACCCAGACTCAGAACAACAATCACACAAAGACTTGCTCCGTGTAGCCAGTTGCCCAGCCACTGCATCGAGCAGTCCTTTACTTTTCTTCTTTATTTATCTGGTGTTAAAATTAGAAAAATCAGCCCTTAATGAAATAAATGACTGGTTTAAAATAAAACTTTACTATTGAGAGAATGCGTGATATTCAGTTACGTCAATGATATTCCAGCACGATGCAGGAGGGCCAGCGATCCTGGATGGCCGATTAGTCGGAGTCATATCGTTTGGACCTACTGTCTGCGGGTTTGCCGACGCTCCCACCGTGTTCACCACGGTCGGCGCCTACACTGACTGGATAGAAACTATCAATGAGACTGTAAATATTGTTACTATAAATATTTCTTCTACTTCTTGTGATGGCTTAAGACACGTCGATATAATGTCCTGTTTTTTCTCCTATTTAACTTCATATTATTACAAACTCCTTCCGCGTAATTTATCAATATTATTATTTTTAAGTTACCTTTTTTTCCTATGCCTTTTCTCAACTCTGCATTTCTGGTGGAGATGAATCAGAACAGTCTTATGTCTAATCTTGGTTTCAAAAAAAATGTTGCTTAATTAAATATTCATATTAAACTATCGATATACATTATACCTACTGGTTGATGAGTCATCCTTAACAATTTTATTGTACGACTTTCAGATGATGGAATACTACATCGGTAAAGTCCGCACCACTACCACAACCAAGTCTCCGCTCAACGAGTTCCTCGCGACGTACAGAATTGGCCAGGCGGGACGTGCGAAGAGCACATACGTCCCTCCGATCACCATAGCCACTGAGCCCACCGCGTCAGTCGAAGAGCCGGAGCCAGAACCAGCTGTTGAGACACGAGCACACTATACAGCTGCACCACCAGTGCCTCGCCATGTACTCCGAGAGGGTGAGGACTCTGACGACGGATGGAGTATTGATTTGACCTTATAAATACATACATACATTTTATTTTTATTTACACTTCAGACACTGATTTCAATAACAGTTAGCCTATTCTATAACTGGCAATTTAAACTTTCGAAGTGCGCTTGGAAGCTCGATCGCGTCCTCGCCCATCATTGGTCGAAATAATTCTCGCAACCAATGACATGGCGCGATGGAATTCATTTCAATGTTTTGAATTTTATTGAAAGTTATAGAAGAGCCTACCAGGTGACGAGTACCATCATAACCAGTTAACCAGTGTATAATTTCATGGAAGCTAAAGAAGTTTAAATTACGTTTCGTGTATAAGGACTGTATTGGGTTCATGGTATAAACAAATGAAATCTTCCGTATGTTCGCTATCAATAAGAGCACGATAGACATAAACTTTTTTTTTTTTTAAAGACATAAACTTAATTTAGACTTACGATACACTGGCTGGATAATTCAATAAATTATTACCTACTTTAGGATTCATACACAAAATCCATTGAACTTGGCTTTAGGTGTAGATGACTTTTATTATCTTATATCAGACCAAAGAAGTAGAATAAAAATTGAATCTGATTGTAATTAATATAAAACTTATTTTTTCATTTTAAAACAACCACGAGAATCCGAGAATCAGCATATCAAATAAATCCGCCATTATTTTTTACAACACACGCTCCTAACCTCGAACCTTTACATGTTACCGTAGCACGTTGCGCAGCGCGCTCACGTAGCGCCGGGTTATTGTAACAGCGTCCATAAACACGTGCATGTTGCGGGCAGCGCTCGAATTGCCGCCAGATGCTACAGTGCGTTATTGAGCCTTTATGGAGGGCGCCACGTGACGGAAACTGGGGACCTGCTACTGTTATTTGTATTTTTTAAGGTTTTGAATCTATTTATGGCGTTTGGCATAGCTATTGTAAAAATGTACCTGTATTTATTTTACAAATGTAAGGATTGTTTAGGTATTGGGTGGCAAATTCATGTCACTGATGGTTAGTAATCAGCGTCGCGCATTGACACACATAACAACATATATAGAAATTGTGCGTTGCCGGCCTGAGACGGAGGAGGGTAACCTTACTTAAATGGTGAAATATCATACAAGTGTTTCACGCCTGTTTTCTGTGACACCGGTTTCATTAATGAAGCGAAAACCGTAATTTGGCTACTAGCTCATATAGTCACCATAATTTATACAAGCTGTAGCTTAGAACAGCAGTAAAGTTCCATTATTTTCTTTTAGAAGAACAATTTCCAGAAGGGGGACAGCCTGGGAGTCTTCAAGTCTCGAGTGAAAAAGTTGCTTATGTAGATGTGCTCCATTCTAGGCAGCATCGTAGCTTACCATCAGGCGAGATAGCGGCCAAGCACCTACCTATCATCAATAGAAAGAAAAAGAAGAACTTTTCTACCCAAACCCCACCAAAAACAAAATGCTGCGGAACCGATGCAGTCGTCTGTGTAGAGATGCTAGGAGGCGCTATTTTGAGGAGAACCTGGAGAAGCACAATTCAAGCGACGTTTGGAGGTTCTTGCGATCTGTGGGCATTGGTAAATCACCTGTTTCCGATGCCAACGACGTAGACCTTGCGGTTCTAAACGACCACTTCTCACTCTCCCCGGTATCACTCGACGGCTCCATTAAATCTGTCACCCTATCCAATCTTTCTAGTTTACCACTTCCTCCCTGTTCTCCGTTCGTCCTTAGCAGTGTCACTGATGATGACGTGAGAAAGTCCATGTTGGCGGTGAAGTCCTCAGCGGTGGGCAGTGATAAACTATGCTCTCGTATGTTTATCCCTATTCTTCATCTCCTCACTCCTATTCTTACCCACATCTTTAATTTCTCCTTATTTTCCTGTTCTTTCCCTACTGCCTGGAAAATGGCTCACGTTATTCCCCTGCCTAAAATAAACAAACCTTCTGTTCCCTCTCACTATAGACCTATTTCTATTCTCCCTTTTCTTTCCAAGGTCATGGAACATATTGTTCACAAACAACTAACGGCCTATTTATCCAGTAATAATCTCATTTCCTCCTTCCAGTCAGGTTTTCGTCCTGGTCACAGCACCGTCACAGCTTTGCTCAAAGTTACAGATGACATTCGCTGGGCCATGGATAATAAATCTCTCACTCTTCTTGTTCTGTTGGACTTCAGTTCCGCCTTCAATTCCGTAGATTTTGATGTCCTGTTGGGTATCCTTAAGTCCAACAATTTCTCCTCTTCTTCCTTATCCTGGATCAACTCCTATCTCCGGGGCCGCCGTCAGCGGGTTCGCCTAGAGGATACCTTTTCCGATTGGTGTGACCTCGCTGCTGGCGTGCCTCAGGGTGGTGTCCTTTCTCCAGTTCTTTTTTCCATTTTTATTAACATCGTTGCCATGGTTATCACTTCTAATTTCCACCTCTACGCAGACGACTTGCAGCTTTACCGTCATTTCAAGCTGTCAGAGGTCGACTCTGCAATTGAAGCCATGAACCGTGACCTGAGTGGGGTCGATGAGTGGGCCAAATCCTTTGGCCTGCAAATCAACCCCCTCAAGTCCAAGGCTATGATAATTGGGGGTAGGTTTTACCGCAACGCATTGAGCATCTCTGCCCTTGATCCTTTGATCCTAAATGGCAATGTTATCCCTTACACTGATGTTGCCAAGAATCTGGGCGTGTTTATTAACTCTAACCTTTCGTGGGGTGAACAGGTGAACGAGATCAGTCGTAGAGTTCATTTCTCTTTGCATTCGCTGAAGCGTCTCCAGTCTCTTCTACCTCTGAAAACGAGGATCAACCTTATGCAGTCTCTGATCCGTCCATTGATCGACTACGCTGATGCTTGCTATTTGGATGCCACGGAGGAGCTTCTAAATAAACTTGAGCGCTTGCAAAATGTCTGTATACGCTTTGCCTTTGGTTTAAAAAAGTACGATCATATCTCGGAATTTCGCAAAAGGCTCAAGTGGCTCCCAATCCGACTTCACAGGAACACTCGCATCTTATGTCTTCTTTTCAATATACTTTTTAATCCCGATTATCCCTCTTACCTTCGTGAACGTTTTTCCTTTGCCCGCCCTCCTGAGGCTCTTTCCCGATCTCATCTTAAATCTAATCTTTCTGTTGTCTCACACAATACTGATTTTTACACCTATTCCTTCACTGTTCATGCAGTGCGACTTTGGAATTCCCTACCACCTAATATCCGTGATTCTAAATCCATCCCAATCTTTAAAAGACTCGTAAGGGAGCACTACCTTTCCTCATCTTGTTCAAATTAGTGTCATATATATATATATATATATATTTGTATGTTTATTTGTAATATACTCTAATATGTGTATTATTTGATGTGTATCGATCATATGTATGTATAGGTTTATGTATTTTATTGTGATCTATTTATTTAATACATATTATGTCATGTTACGCACAGTGTCTCTGTTTTTTCCGTTTTTCCTGTCGAAGGACTGCAGGAAGAGATTCCTTCGGGAATATGTAGTACCTATGTACCTCCAAAATATTTATATATGTGTTCTCCTATGTACTGTCTGTGTGTTGTGCATAAACCGATAAATAAATAAATAAATAAAACATATTCACTTTAACCCACAAACATTTACGAACATCAGACAAATATATCCACTAAATCCTGTTCTAATATACCGCGGTCGCGATGTATGGCACCATTACCGCGGCACCCACTCTATGACACTATTTGTTAAACCGTTGCACGACACGTCAAGCCAAACAACCAGTATACACTGACCGTCGAATGTGCCGGACGATGATACAAAGTGAGATCATCATTATCTGGTTTGTTTAGCTTAGTATGTGGGTAAGTCTACTTCAAATGATACTCTTTATTTTTGAGAAGTGTCTGACAGTTTGGGGGCCTCTAGGATGTCATTAGTTAGGACACAATTAAACCACTGACAAACTGTCGCGAAGGATTATCACATTAGTCATGGATTATGTTAGGATTTGTATGTTCCTTAAATGCCAAACAAAACGTTTTGGGTGTGAAAAATTTTATGTTTACTGTTAGGTATGAAACAAATTTTTTTAGGTCGGAAATATCATCGAATGACTGCTCCCGCCTGGGTGCTAAAAACCACCCCGTTCCTACTTCTGCACTTCGAGCCGGAGCCCCGGTAACCTTTTACATTCTCCGCGGCTCCGTACGAAACTATTGCAAACGAGATTTTCTTCTGAATTAACTGCGTCTGATAATATTTTATGTTATGGACTTATTTCTTAATCAGACGTATCCAATTTTATATCTTTACCTCTACTAAAACCATCCTTAAATTAGGAAAGATATGCCTGAAGTCAAAAGGATGTGACTATCATCATCATCAACGTAATAATATCAGCCACAGGACGTCCACTGCTGAACATAGGCCTCCCCCAATGACTTCCAGATAGGCCGGTTGAATGCGACCTGCGTCCAGCGTCTCCCTGCGACCTTAATGAGATCGTCTGTCCACCTTGCGGATGAACGTCCTACGCTGCGCTTGCCGGTACGTGGCCTCCACTCGAAAACCTTTCTGCCCCAGCTGTCGTCGATTCTCCGCGCTATGTGCCCTGCCCACTGCCACTTCAACTTACTAATCCGCTGGGCTATGTCGTCGGTCTATGTTCGTTTAAGGATTTCGTTTTTATGACGTAACTATGAATAATAAAATTAAAATAAAGCCAAAAAGCCTCCACCGTACCACCGACAGCAGATTATAAATCAAAACAATCAGTGTTGCCATAAAAAACAAGGATAACGTGCAGTGTTGCCATGTCAAAGACAGATTATTGTATATTTATTCAATAGCAGCGTTTCCGGCCGTCAGTGTACGGAATAGTGGGAGCGAGTTTTAATATAGGGAACAAAGTTCGGGGGCGACATGAATTGTGATGAAACAACGTGGTTCATGCTTCGGAAAATATAATTAAAAATAAATCCTTAGAAATCGGTTTTAGATTAGATGGACATTTTAAGGACAAGTGCACTTAAAGGGCATGTCTCA